ACACACACACTTAATAGCATATACAACTTATTTGCTTACCAATTAGTGGCCATTAACCAGAGTCTGCCAACTCCGAATATATAGCATGTCAATTTGAATAAAATGTTTGAGTCTTAGTTTTATTCTTGTTTGTTTGTTATGATATCGGCTTAATTGCGGTTTAGTCGGATTCGCTTTCGCTCTCCGATTGGAAATCGCCCACTTCAATGGAGAATGTGTACTCCTGATCGCATCCCAGATATGAGTCGCTCATGTAGTACAATGTATAATCGTGTTTGCCTGGACTCGGCGCCACAAAGTCCAACTTGACCTTGGCCTTTTGCTGCAGTGTCAGGCGTTTGATGGAGAGCAGTGAATTGGTCTTTGGATCGCCGATGACCACCCACCAGCCCTCCTCGCGCTTCTGCGGGAAGAACGGCGCTATAACCGGGCCGGTAACCTCATCCTCACGCTCCAGCTGCACCACCACATTAACTGTGGAGCCAGAATTGATGCGATCCTTATCAACCACCTCGTAGTTAAGCTCAATGTTGGGATAACGATTGCAGAAGCGTGCCACATCGGCCATTTGCACGTCGGACAGCTGCAGCAGGCGTGTGCGATCCTCGTCCTCCAGCTCCATTATGTCGAAAACAGTTTCAATTTTCTGCAAGCATATCAAATCCACTATTAGCAGAGATGCTAATTTAGTTCGATCAATTATAATCTTACCTTTTCTGTGCAGCGTTTTATGATATCAGCATTGAAGTGTGGCAGCTGCCGCAAATACGAATCCTTGCTCCACATAGCCTGCGTAACCATTTGAGCCAGTTCCATGGCAGCCACAGCTGGCGATAGCCAGCCATTGGAGCTCAGCACATCCACACAGGCCTGTATCAGGCGTATAGCTTTGCTGAGTATCTGCTCCGTGTCGCCCTGAAGCTCTGGACCCAGCTGGAGCCGCGATAGATGGGCTTGAAGCAACAGGTTGGTCTTAATGTGAGGATCATTGAATCTGCAAGGAATTGAAAATATATATTTAATGAAAAATATGACAGAAATTAATTATATTCCAATATTTACTTAGGTGCTGTTTCATTGGGTCCAGTTAGCTTGTTGGGCAAGCGCTGGGAGAGCGTGCGCAGAACCTGCTCTTCGTGGTGCCGCACTACAACATCCTCATACTCCGCTGCCGATGAAATAATCTCCAATAATCCTCGTACTTTGGTCTTGCTGTTAAGCGACAAACTGAAGAGTTCTGCAAGAGATAGTTTTAGGATTAGACAAGATTACCAAAGAGAAAACAAACTTAGATCGTACCTATAGTTGTATAGTTGATGTAGTAGTAGGCGGCAATCATGCCCAAATTCAATGGCAACGTATCCATTTCATCCTCAATGCTTATGCACTTGGATTGCTCCAGATCGCTGAGCGTGTTCTCCACAAGCTCCGACAGATGATCGGATAAATGGCGATGCGTCACACCCTGCAGATTGTAGTAGTTGGGATTCTGGGTTAATCTTCGATAGAGGAATGTCCAGGTTAGATAATCGACGGCATCCTGTTTGTTCTCAATGGTCTTGGTGACCACCTCGGCATTGAAATGATCGTGCAAACGGTGATCCAAATGGCTCTCGATTGGCAGCGGCTCGTTGATGAATTTCTTGAAGAAATCCTTCTTGGAACTCTGACACATCAGCACGCACTTAGCATCCGCATCCTCGTTGGGTCTATTGGCGCGCCCAATCATTTGCAGCACATCCGTAATGGGATAGTCCTCGTACGAATGATTTTTGCCATTGTAGAACTGGGTGTCCATGACGATAACAAGGTGTGCCGAGATGCTCATACCCCAGCACAGATCCCGCGAGACAACGGCCACCTGCACAGCGCCCGAATCGAAGAGCTGCTCGACCAGGCGATGATCTGAGGCAGACAAGCCCTCGTGCAGATAAGCAACGCCCTGAGCCAGCGTCTCCTTCAATGTTTTGTCCGACATGCGCTCGAGGAAGGGCTGGATATCGTCCTCCTCGGCATGGAAGAAGCGATTGGGCTGCAGATCCGAGGCAGCATACGTCAGTATATCGATGGCTGTGAGGCGCGCCTGTTTGCGCGACGAAACAAATACAATTACGGGCTTATGCGGGCTGTACTTGAGTATGGCGTTGTACACAGGCTTGGACATGGTTGCAATGCGCGTGGCATTGTGGGTGACATTGAAGCCCTGTATGTGCAGCTCCAGAGGTATGGGTCGAACGCTCGGATGAAAGTTGAACGTGGCATTGGGATTGCAGCCGAGCCACTGGGCCACATCGCGAGCATCTGTCAACGAGGCGGAGAGGGCGACGATGCGAATCTGCTTTTCAATTTGGGAGCTGATGTAACGCATGCGCGAGCAGACGATCTCCATGACGGGACCCTCCTCGCCGCCCACCAGCTGCAGTTCATCCACAATGAACAAGTTGATCTGCTGCACATTCTTACGCTGCTTCCAGCGACGCGAGAGCACGTCCCACTTGTCCGCGGTGGTTATAATCAATTGTCCTTTGGCAATGAGCTTCAGATCCGTGCCCGTTTCGCCAGTCAGTTTGACCACCTTGATGTCCAGACTGCCAAACTTGGCATGCCAGTCGGCGAAGACCAGATCGGCCAGCGCCTCTTGGGACACCAGATAGACGCAACGTCCTTCACTGCTCTGGCTAAACAAGCGCATGATGGCGAATTCGGCAATGGTCATCTTGCCAGACCCCGTTGGGGCACCCACAAAGACATTCTCATCGCTGTTGTAGACTGCGTTGAAGACCTGCGTCTGGATGGGATTGAACTGCGGGAAACGTTGCGAATAGAATGCCTCGAACTTGGGCTGCCGCAAAGCGCTGATGGGCAGCGGCTGTAAGTCCAGCAGTTCCGTTGGTGGCATATTCTTCTCGGGCAAAATGAGATGCCTGAAGGACACGGGCAGCTGTGTTTCGGCTCCTATCCA